GTGTGGGTGTGGGTGTGGGTGGGTGTGGGGGGGTGCGTGTAACCCTGAAGTCATCGAACCTCGGCAGCGCCTCCACGGAAATTTTGGGTCTTGAAGTCCTAACACCCAAACATTCCATCTCGGGTGTAGGGAAGAGCGATGCAGTGCGTGAATTCTGTGAGCCCCCCTAAACCCTAAACCCTAAACCCTAAACCCTAGACCCTGGCCCGTTGGTGACTCCCCGAGCTTCCCTACTTGGCGGAACATGGGTTATAAGTAGTCATGAGTATAGTGACCTTATATATATATATATATCCCAAGTTACTAAGTCCCATGATTCCTTTAAGTCAAAGACCTTGAGAAAGGAAGAGTGAAGGGGCAAAGGCTTTTGGAATCGGGTTTTAGGGCCCAAAAACGCACAGAAGCACAAATTAGGATAGGGATATCCCTTTTTTCTCCCCCTTATAATGAAGCCTTACAAGGTAGGGATATCCCTATAGCATGCTACTACAGGTTCAGGATCTAACTGCCCGATATATCGGATCCTATTCGTTCGACCGCTGAGGGGGGACGGTGGGTTCTCTTGGTGGTTGAAACCCTCTTCTTGGAGGTTCATGGGTAGTTCTAAGTGGGGTTATAAGTAAGGTAACTATGGTTATAACCCATTTTTAAGGGCTTATAACCCCACTTATAACTTCCCATGAACCTCCAAGTTGTCAGGATCGAGCTGTTGCGACCAGAGGCGAGTATACGTAATCTCTATACACCCTTCGACCTGGTAGATCAAGTGATCCGTACCCATAGGCCCCATAGTAGTTCCTTTTCGGGGTTCATATTTAGAATCCTATAAGGTAATCCCAAAAAGGAACTACTGTGGGGCCTATGGGTAACAGTAGGTCGCCGATGGCCTTAAACTATGAACATCTATTTACCCTTAACTGCTGACAGAACCTGCAACCCCTTCTTTCTTCAAGGTATATGTCGCCAAGACCTTGAGCATCCTCAAACCTTAAACCCTACTTAAAGGATCATGGGACTTAATAAGTAAGGGTATAAGTACCTAACTTATAAGATGGTAAGTAGTAACAAATAAAGCTACCTTAGTTACAACCCTAGTTAGTCCTATGCTCTTCCATGCAGAACCTGCCACGAATCGGTATGGATCCCTCCGTCGGTCCTTCTGCTGCCCCAGCGATGCCAGAAGGTTCCAGCGCAAGGCCACGTTGGCATCCGTCAGCGCGGTAAGCGCCGCTGCAGCTGTCGCCATCTGACAAAGATCTAAGTCGGTAGAATTTGTGCGGTAAAATCCAGACAAAGCGACAAAGCCTTCAGGCAATCCCTTTGCCCGCCCTGCCCCCCCGTTTCGTTCCGTTCAATGCCATAGCTGCTGCCATAGCTGTCACAAGCAGACTCGGGCACTTCAGCCGCCAACTGCCCAATGAAAGGAGTTGCTGCAATGCCAAGCACATACGGCAGCAACACGATGAGTTTCTCCAGATTAAGGCCAGAAAAGAGCTTCTGTATTGTCTTCGGTCTGCATCTAGGACTGCCTTCGCTTGATGAGAAACTCGGACATGACAGTAAGGGGCGGACTGTAGCAACAGTATCGAACATGTGCGACAGATACGGAAAAGGTCAGGAAGCATCAACTGTAGTCAGCAAATCTTCGTAATCTCACCCTAAACCCTAAACCCTAAACCCTACACCCTAAACCCTCATAATCACATGACTGTTGCAATACTGCTTCTGCAGCTGAAAGCTCCAGGAATGCTGCTATCCTGGAGTCGGCACCTAAGGGCTTCACAGCCTCTCTGTGTACTCTGCGTGCACGTGAGAGCACGAGGGATCGCAGGAGGTCCCCGAAATGCCGCATTGGCCATTAAACGGCCAGCTGTACAGAGGAAGGGTTGTACAAGGAAAACTGTGCAATGGGCGTGAAAGCTACACCAATACTACCGCACACGTCTGAACGAGTGACTCTGGAGCAGCTTCGGGTGCTAAACATTATGCATCTCAGATGCTCAGGGGAAGCACAAGATTTCCAGCTCATGTTGTCCGATCCGTGGAAGCTGATCCTCCTGTTGTTCTTTCTCTGGCTGAGATCGTCTGTCTGTCAGTGGAGCCATCGCCTCAGACTCGGAAACGACCACTTTCATCTTGGAGGTCATGCAACCCATGCCGCTCAGCTTGGGTCGTTGGAGGACAAGGCTATCGAGCTCGCGCTTTCCTTGGCCTAAAATGCCTCTTCGAAACCACGGACGCTCGGGAACATGCACCTAACGTGAAATCCTTCAGTCCTGAATCCAAACTCGCCATTCCTTAGGCTCGCGATACGGGAAAGCCTATGAAAGCTGCTTCGAATCCGGGTCAAACGACTCGAAACCCTGAAACCCTCAACGACACGGTGAATGTGGTTGGTTTCGGTCCTAGCTTTGCATTGGTGTGCTACTACACATCCACTGGGAGCCCTAAACCCTAAACCCCTTCCAGATCGCGGGTTCACACCAAGAACCTGCACTGCCAAGCATCTGGCGTAGCAAGAGGGATCCAACACTAGTACAAGGATAATTAGAATAGGGTTTTGGGGCCCATGATACTGTAATTATACTAAGGAACCCTCAAAATACTAGAGGTAATTATTCAGGCCCCCATATTAGGTCCAGTATAATAAGCCCTGAAAAAAACACAAAAGCCGTCGAAGCCTGAACCCTACTTGAATGCCAATCTGTATTGGAAGCCAGAAACCCTGAGTGCTGCACCCGAACCCTAAACCCTAAACCCTAAACCCTAAACCCTAAACCCTAAACCCTAAACCCTAAACCCTAAACCCCTAAACCCCAACCCTAAACCCTAAACTCTAAACACGCCGTCGGCAAGACATGTGCATCGGCCTCTGCACGGGCCGTCGAGGCTCGCGCAGCCTTGCTGAAGAATCGTCGACTCGCATTTACACTTATTTGGTGTTACGGTTTAATATAGGTTTTAAGGTTTAGGGTTTAGGGTTCAGGGTTTAGGGCCTTAATAATTAGAATAGGGTTTTGGGGCCCATTATGCTACAAAATATAATAAGGAGCCCCCAGAAGAGTATCGGCAAGTATTTATGCCCCTACATGAGGGCTTTAGAGTTTAAAGGTTTAGGGGTTTAGGGTTTAGGGCGGCAGGGCATCGGGTGTCAGAGCTCAGAGGTTTGAGAGATAGGCATGGGGATGGGGTATCTTGACAGCGTGAGTGTCACGTTGAGGGCTTAGGGTTTGGGGTTTAGGGTTTGGGGTTGAGGGCTTAGGGTTTGGGGTTTCGGGTTTGGGGTTTCGGGTTTAGGGTTTGGGGTTTAGGGTTTGGGGTTTAGGGTTTGGGGTTCCAGGTGCTGCTGCAATTTCCCGGGCTCTCCTTATTTCCCGTACTATCATTACGACCAGTATGCTGCTAGCATTGTTACAGCTGATTGATGAAGCGGAAAGTCATTCGTTCGTTCATGTGTTCAGCTAATTAGCATGCGTACATGTGGTTTAGGGTTTAGGGTTTTAGGGTTTAGGTTTAGGGTTTAGGGTTTAGGGTTTAGGGTTTAGGGTTTAGGGTTTAGGGTTTAGGGTTTAGGTGGAGCAGGCTCAGAGGTTGGATTGCGGTTTGGCTTGAAATCAGGTAAACCCTACTTGGAGGATCATGGGACTTAGTAAGTAAGGTTATAAGTCCTTTAATTGGGGTTATCGGTATGGCTACCTTAGTTATAACCCTACTTACTAAGTCCCATGATCCTTTAAGTAAGCCGAGTATCGATGTAGAACCAGTAGCAAACACCCCTCAACAACTCGAAAACCTGGAACAAAAAGACCTTCCAACGACCCTCTAGCTCGAAAGCACTTTAGACACCCAGTGAAGGCATCTTACAACCCTCTAGCCCCAAACCCCAAACCACTAAACCCTCAACCTAAAACGCTCGGACCCTAAACCCCAAAACACCAAACCCATCTAATATAGGGGCCTTAATAATTAGGATAGGGTTTTGGGCTCCATGATACCCTTATTATGATAAGGAACCCCCCCAAATAGTATAGGTAATTATTAAGGCCCCTATATTAAGGGTTATCCTAAGCCCTAAACCCTAAACCCCTAAACCCTAAACCCCCAACCCCCAAACCCCTAAACCTTAAACCCGAAAAACCCTGAGCCCCAAAACACTAAACCCATCTAAAACCCGTTATCTCAAACCCAGCGGGTCCGAGTACCCAAATAATAAGGTTTTAGGTCCCGAAATCCATACTCTGAGTGGTTTTTGGACCCTGCAACCCTACTATTTGGGCACTTGGACCCTTAGGGCTATACTCTCAGCCTGGATTCTAAACCCTGAGCCCTAAACCCTAAACCCTAAACCCCAGAACACTAAACCCATCTAAAACCCTGCTATCTCAAACCTACACAGCTGGCCTTAGACTCTGCCTCCTTGGCCCAGGCCTCCTCCTTGGCTCTTGCCTGGCCGGTTTAGGATTTAGGCTTCATGGTTCAGGTGTAAGGTTTAGGGTTTAGAGTGTAAGGTTTAGGGTTTAGGGTGTAAGGGTTTAGGGTTTAGGGTTTAGGGTAAGGGTTTAGGGTTTGGGGTGTAAGGTTCAGGGTTTCTAAACTTGAGGGATTATTATGGTTAAGGTGTAAGGTTTGGTGTAAGGTTTTGGGTTTCTAAACTTGCGGGATTAAGGGGGTAAGGTTTAGCGTTCCTTATAAATGGGCAGAGTTTAGGCTTTAGGGATTCTAAACCGGGTATGGTTCAGGGTTTAGGGTTTCTACACGGGTGGCGTTTCGGGTTGAGGGTTTGAGGTCTAGGATTTAAGGCTTCTAAACGGGTATATACGGCTTAGGGCCGAGGTTGGCTTACTTAAACGCCCAAGAGTATGTTAGGGGTTTATGGTTTAGGGTTTNNTAGGGTTTAGGGTTTAGGCTAAAACATTGGCCCAACAAACTATTCTACATACTTTGGGGGATCCAAGTAGGGCTTAAGCACCATCTCAAGTTGCGTGCTTGGACTTACATTTTGGGCTTTGCGGTTGGCTTACATTGTAACGTGTATGTTGTAAGGGTTCGGGGTTTAAGGCATCAGGGCTGAAAGTATTAAGTTTAAGGCTTTCGCTTTTGATCTTAGGGACAGACCCTACGTCTGTGTGTACACACACATACATCTACACATACCCCTAAACCCTAAACCCCT